CAGACAAGATCTTCCCTTTGGGCTTTCTAGCAAACTATTAGCTGCCCATTCAGCTCAAATAGCACCTCTTTTGTGACAGTCCAGTTGCTCTGTGTACTTTCTACACATTTCAACACTGACCATATTATTTCCAATGGTTTGCTGCCATGGTTCAGAACTACTACTAGAGATGAGTATGTAAGTCTTATTCATGCCTGCACTTTAATGACTAACATATGCCTGGCACACAATATGTACTGCTAGTATAGGCAGGTTCAGCTCTTTTAATATAAATTCAATTTTTAAAATAGTAAACAATGCCAAAAAATGAATGCTTTTAAAGTTTAACAACTGAAAAGTGGAGACAGATATTATATGCTGTTGGCAGTAAAATCCAAAAAGGGAGAATTAACCCAACTGGTACCTAACAAAAAACCTTTTTTCTCTATAATCACAAAAACTTTAAACTGCTATTTTAAATGGTAATAAAATCTGACTGTAGTAACCTACTCTAAATGGCTGAGTGTATCTAAATATGCAAAAGGAAACAGATGATGTCCATTTGCTTCCTCTAATTATTGCAATTGTTTTAAAAAGAAAAAAAGGGAGTGAGGCTATAGTTTAATGATCTAGTGCTTACCCAGCACGCACCAGGTCCTGGGAAAGAAAGGAGAGAAAGAGCCAGAGGAAAGGGAGGGAGGGAGGGAGGAAAGGAGGGAGAAAAAGAGAAAGAAAGAGAAAAAGAGAAAGAAACAAAAAGAGAAAGATGAAAGAGGAAAAAAATTCCCTTTAGTTGTGCAGTTCTAAGCGTAATTACATATCTAAAGGGACCACGCTGGTATTAAATGAATGAATGAGTTATTCTATATTAATATTTTTATTGGCACTCATCATTATACACTTCTCAGCTTCTACCATTATCAAAGGGAAAATAATTAATTCATTTTTAAAGTAAATACTAAACCATATGGCATATTAGTACCACAAAATGTACAAAATACATTTTCTCTACAACAGGATACTAAGAATTGCATGCTTAGTTCAAAAATTAATTTTTATAAGAAATGTTCAAAACTTTAATGGACTACAAAACTTATTTTAAAAATTCCAACAAACTGATAAGCCAACTATTCAAATTGTAATAAGAAAACTGAAAATGAGAAACTGAAATATTAAATCAATTCCACAGCATCTTTAAAGATACTTTAACTCATTCTTGACAGCAATGCTTTAAGTAGGGGAGTAGAGAAACAAAATTTTCAGCTCACCCTCTTGCTCTCTCTACTCACATGTGACTAACCACAGCAAGAATCAGATTCTTCCCTATGTTGTTTAACTGGGGATTGCTGAGCCCAGTACATCTCTTTGAGCTGAGCCCATGAAATGCCTCTGGCTTAGCCTGCTGCTGAAATTTGTAACAGGAATGCAAAAACAGAAAAATATTACAAAGTGAATGAGCATAGACAGTTTCTATTTTTCATCAGTGTGTTCAGAGAAGCTTTATCATAAAATATGGAACAAGAAGCATGGGCTATTTTCTCCTGTGAGAGAGACTAACACTGACCCTCGATAAAACCTACTATTATGCTCAGTTTGCAAATGAAGAAACAAAAAAAAAGAAAGGAAACTTATCCAAGTGCACACAGCACTAAGTTACTGTAAGACTCACACCCACGGTTGGCTAAAACCATAATGTTCATCCTTATTATATACTTTTTCTGGGAAAAAATGCCCATTGTTTATTGTTCTTTCATAGTGCAGCTTCTCTGAACACACTGGTGAAAATAAAGAAACTGAGTATCTCATTCATTTGTTAACTTACTCAATAAATATTTGTTAACTCCTTAAACTCTCAATTGACCTGAAGCCCTTTTAAGTGTTCCTTAGTATCTGGTATATACAGTGGATTGAATCATCCCCCAGAAACTCACATGCTGAAGTACTAACCACCAATCTCATGCTAGTGGGAGGCATGGCCTTTGGGAGGTAATTAATTAAGTCATGAAGTGGAGTCTCATGCATGGGATTAGTGTCCTTATAAAGGGACTCCTTTCCACCATGCGATGATACAATGAGAAGACAACAACCTGCAGCCTGGAAAGTGCTCTCACCAGAACTTGGGCATGCAGGCACCCTGATCTTGGGACTTTCAGCTTCCAGAACTGTGACAAATTTCTGTTTATAAGGCACGCAGTTTATTGTACTTTGCTCTAGCAGCCCAAACTTTCTAAGAGAAGTCAGTATCAATAAATGAGGTACTGCTGTAATAAATGCCTGAAAAGGTAATCTTTATTATTTCACATAACCAAGCAAATTAATAAAATGTAATAATATTAACAGTATTCTAATTTTTTTTTTGCAGTGCTGCACATTGAACCCAGGGTCTTGCATATGCTAGGCAAGTGCTCTACTACTTTATATAAGCCCCCAGCCCTTTTGTTTTTCATTTGTTTTTGAGGCAGGTTCTCATTACTACCCTTTGCGTGGGCTGGCCTGGAACTTACAATCCTCCTGCCTTTGCTTCCTGAATAGCTGGGATTTGAGATGTGCACCACCATGTCTGGCTAATAATCTAATTGTTAAAGACACTTTTAATTGAGTTTTTTATTACACCAACAGACAACTGATATAAATGCTTATCAGAAATTGCATTTGAAAAGAAAATGAAGGACAATCTAGAATAGTAATCTGCAGAACAGATATAGAATAAAGTATGTCTTCAACTTAAAAAAACAGTTTCATAATTATAGAATATAAACCTGGTTTAACAACAGCAGTTCAAGTAATAAAAGATATAGGTACTTAGTAGTGAACTCAAAGTAACCCAGCCCTATAACAAGGCTGAGGAAAATGCATGACCATTTCAGAGAATACCAAAACTAGAGATTATGGTGGCAGTCTTATATAGCTCAGCACTGATAATCACATTTGTGGAATAGATTAAGTATACTACATTAAAAGAGACACTGAAAAACAGGAGAACATCAAAGGATGGTTACCAGGAGAGTGAAGATGTAGAGACCACATCATCTGAGGCCAGACTGAAGAAATGCCAAATGCACAGTCTGAAAGAGGGCAGACTGAAAGGAACATGGTGACTATTTTCAAGGCTTCTCCAGCATAAGAAGGGTGTACTTAGTCTTATCATTTCTGAGAAAACCATGTGAAACAACAGTTGGTTGCTAAAGAAGGTAGGCTTGGACATAAGAAAAGCATTGGAGCAAAAAAGAAAAAATACCCCAAAAACCAATCTAATACATTGCTGAGCCATTAGAGGAATCTAAAAGTGAAGCAAGTTATCTCCTAAGATAGTGAAATTCCTATTCACTGAGATGAAGTAAAGACTGAGGGATACCCAACAGGGACACTGCAGAACAGTACTTCCCAGAGAGCATGTACACACCACTGGTTGTACAAGAAATTATTTTAAATTCACACATGCATTTATGTTAGTCACTGTGTATTTATTTTTACATACATTAAAAACAAATGTGCACACTAAACTAGCTATCATTCTATGGTTTCATGAGCATTTTTATTTTAGAATAAATGAACAATTTAAAGTTGACTTAAAGGAAAACATTAAACCAATATAATATAACTAGTTATATTATTTTATGATCTATTAGTTCCATCATAGAATTTAAAAATAAAACAATGAAATGCAGAAAGTTTTTTAAGAAAAAGAACTTCTAAGAGGACAAATATTTTAAAAGAAAAGAAAAACATTATGACTGGATATGGTGGCACATACCTGTAATCCTAGCACTTGGGAGGATGGGGCAGGAAGATCTCAAGTTCTAAAGAAGCCTGGGTTACATAGTCTGAGGCCTGAGCTACACAGCAAGACTCTGGCTCAAAAAATACAAACAAAATGAATATATACAAATTAAGTCATTTGTAGTTCAACTGGTATAACACAGCAGAAATCATGAAGATTCCAAAAATGTCTGAATCTTGGACACATTGCTCTGTGGGAATCTGTTCAATGAATAGCCTAAAACTAAAGTTCCTCCTTTGCCAAAGTTGTCTGATATGTAGTGATCCCTACATTTATTCAAACAGCCAACATGATTATAATAAGAGTAAAATTTTTCATTATATTTAGTACAAATCATAGAAATACTAATTTTTAATAGCTCTAACTATACCCAGAAACATTTTTGTCATTGGTTTGTTTGTTTTGCAGTGCTGGGGATTGAACCCATTCACATATGCTAGGCAAGTGCTCTACCATTGAGCTGCATCCCTAGCCCAATAGTTATAACTATAAAATGATAATTGGAACCCTCCATAGCTAGTCTTTTATCATAAAAGATTAACATTCTTACACATGATAAGTACTTATTGATGGCCTAGTATGAGACAGGTACTCTGGCAGATAAAAATTTGAAAGTAAATTTGCAAGTTTTCATTGGAAAGATCTATTGCTACCTTGAGGAAAAATTTAAAATATTTAAGGTAAGATGCCAAAAGAGAAAGTCTTCCTTATCATGTTCCTTTAAAATATGTATGTATTTTGGTATATAAAGCCCCAATTATTTCCTATGCTACACATACACACATAAAAATTAGACACACAAACCAGATGTAGATTTAAGTTTTCTATGGCACACTGACTCATGTTTAGTATTTGCTGCTGTTGCTCAAATATATTCTGAAAATGCTCAGGAATTTTGCTGAAGCCTAAGGACAATCCCATGGTATCTTTGTGCAAAGCCTGACCCCCGCTCCTGCCTTAAAGCTTGCATGGCAGGCATCTTCCCAAGTCATAATGAAAGCCATGGGCCTCTATGGAGGAAATGGTGCCACCTTCCACTACTGGAGGCACATTCATTGCCTGCAAGAAGCCTGACCTTTTCTTTTCTTTCCCAGCTCCTTAAGCTATCTATGCATGAATAATAACTGTAAGTGACATCTAATATGTATAAGAAACATTAAAGTTTAAACGTATCCATCTGCAAAGAGATTTCAACTAAAGTCTAAGAAAGAAAAACAGTCCCGAGAGATTCCCTTCCTACCTCCTGAGAGTGTTCTTTATAGACCTGTAGTGGTCCTGTGGCTTTGGCTGTGTCCCAGAGCTGCAATGAGCCATCACCACTACAGGTGACAAGGACATGTTCGTTGTTCTCACTCCAGGTCACGTCAAACAAACCATCGTTCCAGTCAAAGCTACACCAGAATAATTAAAAAGAAGAAGAAAGAGGAGGAAGTGGTGGAAGAGGAGAAGAATAAGAATTATATAAACAGCTGAACAATAAGAACAAAAAAGAATGAATAATCACAATTTTACAGTTATGGGGTCCTTTTCTTAGTTTATCATATATTTTAACACACATTATTCCATGTGGTCTTCACAATTGTGGGATATAAGTAAAGAATCAGAAATAATCAGAAAGCTGAAAGAATAGACCACGTAATACACAAAGAAAACTGCAATACTGGATTAAAATTGGATTTCCCAGGCAGGGCATGTGGCTCACACCTATAATCCCAGCTACTTGGGAGTTATAGATAGGAGGATCTCTGAGGCCCACTGGACAAAAAAACACAATACCTTACCTGGAAAAAAAAAAAAAAAAACTAAACCAAAAAGGCCTAGCAAGCAAGTCCTTGAGTTCAATCCCCAATATGGCTAAAAAAATTTTTTTTTAAACTGGGTTTCCCAACTACCAATATGAAGTTATTTACATGAGGGCCTGCTGTCATACCTGTGACACTGCCTTCTGTGACCAGCACTTGAAAATACTAATTTAGAACAGAAATTTTAAACTTCCCCATAAATGTATCACCTGAGCTATATAACACTCATGCACTTCACCCGAGCTGTGAACATGTAGTTATTTTCTGACAGAATTTCCTTTCTTTGCTGTACCTTTGACTAATTCTGATAGAATTATTAATTAATTAATTATTAAGTCCAACAGTCACATAGGAAAAACAGGCACGGAAACAAAAGAGGAGAGGCTTGACAATCCACAAGGGGAGTAATTAGCTCCTGTCTGAGGAAAGAAAGACAGGCCATGTGCACTGTACACTAACTAGTTCACCATAAGTTTGAATTTTATCATTTAAAGTGAACACTAAAAAAACAAGCTTGAGAAGAAATGTGACATAATCACAACTTTATGTCAGAAATCATTTCTATACTATGTAAATGCTAAAGTTCCTTTTGTATTGAAAATTAAAACATCTTATTGAGCAGAAGATCTTATTGAGCAAAAAGATCTTAAACTAATTCTATTAAAGCTTTATAACAACAGAGAATATATTAAGTTTAATATTAGAGCCACCTTACCTTCTAAAAATCCCAAGCCCTGATTCGTTTTGATCCAATATTAGCAGGGTTCCACAACCTAAAGAAAAGAAAAAAACAAAACAAAACACTAAGGTCATGCTGTTGAAGCTGCCAAGAGAACAGCCAAGACTGAAGAAGTTATGTGCCTCACTTTACTACCACAAATTTCCCAAGTTATTGGGACCACAGATACAAAAGGCTTAGAATTTCATATTGTGCTTTGATCATTAAATATTCAACTTACCATCTCGACCCTCTAGAATCCAGACCCAGCTCTACAAGGGAAGAAACACCTGAGGACCTACTCTGAGCTTGCCAGGTGCCAGGCACAAAAACCTTCCAAGTTGGTGTTATCACCCCTCCTAAGAGGCTCCTCAGGCTTACGGATATCCTCAGGCTGTGATCCTTCTACTAAACCGCCCTGCCTTGGCAGTAAGTGAAAAATATATGGAATACAGGAATTTAAAATGAAATGTAGAAGAGGAAATACCACACACTTGGCAACAAAATGTTAAAAACAGTATTAGTATTACTCATCTACCAGCAATAAATGATTTTGCTGAAGGACTAATGTATTTTAAAAGTTACATTTACAAGATGGGGAGGGAGGAGAGAACTCTTCTGTTTAAACATGACTGATTTTTAAAAAGACAACTCCTTTTAAGGAGATTTTGCAAAAGATTTAAAGTAGTATATTACAGGCTCATTAGTGTTCAACCTAACTGGTGGGCAAGCATTGTAAACCTGAAGGTGCAAGGGCTAAGAGCTACTAAAGAAAATATAAGGAAGGAGGTACCTCCCTGTGAGTTGTAGAAACCACATGTTTTCTATTATAGGACTAAACAAATATTATGGATTGCTTACATTAACAGTTTGCTACATATCCTTCCAGTGAGTAAACAGCCAGGGCATGAACTAGTCAGTAATTGCAAAAAATAAAATAGAAGCAACATTGAAGCCAAGTATGGTGGGTTTTCTTTCTTTTTTCTTTGTTAAACCCAGTAAATGGTTATTTAAAGTTGGTTTTAAAATACCAACTTTTTAGCCAGATTTGGTGGTATGCACCTATAAATCTGTAATCCCAGCTTCTAGGGAAGAAGATGGAGAATTCGAGGCCAGCCCAGGCAAAATTAGTAAGACCATGGCTCAAACAACAAAACACAAACAACAGGGCTGGGGGGACCCTGGCTCAAGTGGCAGAGGGCTTGCCTGAGTTCAGTCCCCAGGACTGAGAAATAACAAGCTATTAAACAAAGCACACTGATAATGGATCTTTGTCTCTCCACCTAGTCCACAGCTGAACAGAGCTTGAGCCTCTAACTGCTTGCAAATTTATGCATTCTGCGGGAGACAACAAAAGGTGAAGACACAACTTGCTACCCCTAACTTTTTTTTTAACAGAGTAGCCCAGGCTGGCCGCGAACTCATGATTCCCCTGCCTGAGTCCTCCGGGCGCTGGGAAGTACGTCCTCCTCAAGGGCTGACTGTGGGAGCCTGTGAACAGGAGGCAGCACTGGGGTGACCCACGATGTCCGGCAATCCCTGGCAGTCGGACCGCCACCCGCACAGGGCGTGCACCGCGTGGGCGTCGTCAGGGGGCTGTGGGGACCACACGGAGCCCCTGGCTTAGCCCGCGGGGAGAGCGGAGCGGCCGCTCCCTCTGCTGCCCCCTGGCGGCGGCGCCTCCCCACGAGCCCCAGCCCCGGCGGCGCGGCGCCCGGGCTCACCCGCTATGCCGTAGTGCTGCGCCGCGGCGCAGGCCAGGCGGCCCGCCAGGTACGGGGAGAACTCCGCGGCGTAGCCGTGGCGGCCCGGAACGCGCAGCGTCCGCGCCGCATTCATCCAGCCCACCGCCTTCGGCCTCGCCGCCCGGGAGGCCAGGTAGTCCCCAGGAGGAGGACGGTGGCGACTCACTGACAGAAGTTAGAAGTCCCGGAAGAGCAGGCGGAAGTGAGAAGGGCTGGGCTTTGAATCCTACGTTCCGATTGGTCGGCAGTGGAAAGGGCGGTGACTCCAAGGGAGACCATCTTTGTTTTGGGCAAAGCGAAATTCTGATTTGCGTTGGAGGAAAAGCTGCAATGCTAACTGGAGAGTGATTCAGGTTGGTTTTTTGTAGTTGCATCTCACTGCGAGGCTATCTGAGTTCTCTTTTATTAATCATCTGGAAGACTGGCATCCAGAAGTTTTCCTGATGATTAAAAATGCAACAAGCTACAGCAAGCTCTGAAACCATTTAACGAATCCAAAAGGCAGTGGAGTGCTGTGTTGCCTAAGGTAACTTGAAGCAACGTCAAGTCAGGCAACAGTGAAGTTAAGGGGAAAAGACCATCATAAGCAAACTAACTTTAAAAATAATCTCTAGGCAGGGCACATTGACTCGTGTCTGTAATCCCAGCTGCTTGAGAAAGAGATAGGAGAATGGAAGTTCGAAGGCAGCCAGGGCAAAAAGCCAGACCCTATCTCGGAGAAAAAGCCAGTCATGGTGGAAGTCTCAGGGAGGTGAAGGTAGGAGGATCACTGTCTGAGCCCACCTAGACCCTATCTGAAAAATAAAGCAAAAAGGGCTGGGGGTGTGGCTCAAGTGCGAGAGCACTTGCAGGAGGCCTTGAGTTCAAACTCTAGTACCGCCAGCAAAAAAAGAGAGAGAGAGAAAAAGAGAAACCTCTACACATAGTAAGATTATACACAATATAATACATATTATATATAATATAGTAATAAGTGCTCAGGCATCAGGACTAATTCATTCATTCATTCATTCATTCTTTCAAACATTTGCCAAGCGTGCATAAATATAATTTATCTGCCAAATCAAACACTTTTGAGTGTGAAAAAGGTTGTAGTTAATAACTAAACTGATCAACCGGTACAAACCAAGTCATGGATCACCTCAACTGGATACCAAGCACAGTGCAAAGCACTTAGGATTCATAGCTCTAAGGCATGGGCCATGCCATCGAGAGACTAGAGTCTTGTCAAGAGAAGACAGGTAAGCAGTTCAGTGTAATAAAAATACTGTAGGTGCTGTGAGAAACATGTGGGTGTTTAAAAAAGGAAATTGTCAGTGCTAGAAGTGGGAGGATGGCAGGAAAAGCCTCAGAAAGGAGGTAGTCTTTGTGAGGAGTGCATACAGATGAGTAGGTTTTGTTTTTTTTTTTAAATAAACCAGCATAATCCATAGGGACTCATGGCTACCAGGATTCAGCCTGGTCAGGTGGAAGGGGTGTGGTGAGGAGCATATGGGGTACAGGAACTAGAGTGTTGGACAGGAGCTGGATCATGAAGAGGAACTGGATATCTACTGTAGTTTAAATAATGAGGAAAGACAATTTTCCCATGTGTGACATTAAATGACTAAATTTTCTTTTTAAAAGATCTTCTGGCAACACTTATCTGAGGCTAGAGGTTGAAGATGGGGTTGCCCATTAGAGACCTATGCAAGAGTTCAAGCAAAAGATGGTGAGATCTTGAAAGGAGAGTCTTTGTTCATGAATTATGGTAATGGGCCCTGGATGTGGTGGTGCACACCTATAATTTCCAGCTCTCAAGAGGCTGAGGTAGGAGGATTGTGAATTTGAGGCCAGCCTAGGCTACATAGTAAGACCCTGACTCAAAATGAAATAGAAAGAATTGTGATAATTGGTGTGGAGAGTAAGGACCGGATGAGGTTTTAAGGCAGTAACTCATAGTACAGAAGGAAGAAGGAGGAGTCCAAATGGCTCCCAGGTTTCTACATAGGTTCCTACATAAATGCAGAGACTATTCACTGAAATAAGGACTGTGGAGGGAGAAGCAGGTTTGCAAACAAAATGAACTCCAGCTTAACATGTCGAGTGTCATTTCTTAAGGCTGTTGAATATGCCAGTCTAGAGCTCAGGCAGGAGTTCTTATTTGCATGTAGACCATATTTAATTCATGGTTATGATTCCCCTCGCTCAGGAAGAGAATGATATGAAAACAGAAGAAGGCCAACTGTAGGAGAACAGTAGGAGAAACAACAGTATGCAAGACCTGACAGAAGAAGAAAAAGTGGGGGGAGACCCACAAGATGGACCCTATAAATCCATTTCTTGTTTTGTTTTGTCTTTTGTACTGGAGTTTGAACTTAGGGCCTACACGTTAAGCCACTCCACCAGTCCTTTTACATGATGAATTTTTTTGAGATAGAGTCTCTTAAACTATTTGCTCGGGCTGGTTTCGAACTGTGATCCTTCTGATCTCTGCCTCCTGGTAATTAGGATTATAGGTAGGATTATAGGTGTGAGCCACAAGCGCTTGGCTAAATTTATTTCTTAATTGGCTTAAGAATACAGATCAAGTTGGAAGGATTTACACACTACTTTCTGATGAAGGCTTTGATAGACAGGTTAGTGAGTGGGTCTTTATGAAGCAAATGACTCAACAGTGTTAAAAGTACATAAAACATCTATCACAGTTCCTAGTACACAGTAGATACACACAAAAAATGACAACTGTTATTACTATGGTAGCAGACAAGAGTTAACTAGCACAAAGTCAAATAAAACATAAAGCATTCCTGTTTTTTCTTCAAGCAACTTAAAATCCATCTTCTTCCCTAACTCCCAGCTATTAGAAAGCTTGTTCTCATCTTGTTTTAGAGCTTCCTAGCACTTACAGGGCCTCATTTGAATCTGATACTAGAATATAAAATCCACAAAGGCAGGATCTGAGTTCTGTTGTTCCCTCTCACATGCCTAAAACACTGTCTGGCAAATGGTGACGAGTCTATAATCTGCAAATAGCTCCATGTGCAAGTCTGAATGGTGTGTGAATGTGCATTTCCATGTAATGCTTGAAAACAGGAAGAGTCACAGCTTCAGTGTGGGCATGGCTTTCACTTACCTAGGGCCCCAGGAAACCATTCCTGCCGGATAGCAAGGCCACGTCACTGTCACTATTCCATGTATCAGACTGTGTCCTCTCAAAACTTTCCTCCCTCACTGCCCTCACATAGTCATCTCCCCCCTCCTGCCCTCAGCCAGGAAACATCAAAACTGTGTTCAGTGAGTTTATATTCAAGGGGAAAGTTTTGTATGCTCGTTGGTTTGTGTGTTTATTCCAGGACCTTTGGTCTTGTATTAACCTGGAAACCCAATGCACTTGGTGTCACTTTGCTTACATCCCCCATGTGCTGTGTTTTCAAAGGTGAAGCAAGATGAGTTATGAGCTCCTGAATCAGTATCAACATGAAAACCACCAGCATTCAGTTTTGCAGGCACTGGCAAGATTAATTCCAGTTTAAACCACAATCCTAACTAGACAAAGGCAGAGTAGGAGTGCTGACATTCTTTGAACTCACAGTGACAGTGCAAGATCATACAGTCAAACAGGTACCCACCACACATGCCTACACCTGCAAATGAAAAGGAAACTGAGCCCCAAACTGTCCTTGTAGGAGGAGCCAGTATCCACAAAAAGACTGAGGAGGATGAGCACCTCCCCAAGATGGCCATTTTATTTAATGTTTCCATCACAATGAGATTTTCAACATTAAGTGGAATTAAATGAATACTTGCTTTATAAGCCTAAGAAAAGTTTCTGCTTCATTTAAAGATGTTAACACATAATAACAGAGCCTGAACTATGTGACTCTGCGAGAAAGAAAATACATAAAATAATGACAAAGACTGTCAAAAGGACAAAGAAACCTACTGGAGGAGGCTCCTTCTGGGTAAAACCAGGCCAATAGAATATGGATAGTTACAGATTATAGCCTACTGAAAAAGGTACAAGTCTGTAAGATCTTACTGATATGAGTAATGGGGCAGAAGGTAGTTTCTCCTTACAGTAGAATTCCTGTTAATAAAGGTAGAGGAAATAATGAAATTACAAGATAGTCTTTTGGAATTACTATAATAATAGTTTTGGTAGTCAAGAATCACTGATGAATGTGAAAACTGGTGGGAATATGGAGAGAAACAGGATTTATATATGCACTAGTATTAAAGGGTCTCTCCACAGGATTCGAATTAGTTACAAATGGAAAGATAGAAACTTTATGATAAAGAAACCTAGGCACCACCACCTTCACCAAGTGATTAAAAATCACCAGTAAAGGGACAAAACAGGGCCATGTGCTACTGATGTGATGATATACAAGGGAAAAACACAGCTTCACTTCCCTGATGTTTCCATCAAACTGCATGACCAGAGGAATACAAATCATGAGGAAATACCAGACAAGCCTAAATTGAGGGATGTGTCCTGTACTCTTCAAAAGTGTCCAGGTAATGGGAGACAAATGAAGACTAAGGAACTATTATTGATTAAAACTCTCTACATTGGCATTACAACTAATGCAACGTGTGTTCCTGAGTTAGATCCTGAACCAGAAAGAAACCCTCTTGGACTAACAATAAATACTTAAAAAAAAAAAAATGAAGGGCGGGAGAGTAAAATAGGTCTTTACCATGGGTGGGTACCAGTGGGAGAGGGTGGGCATAAGGAAAGGGTGAATGAGGGTGAATATGGTGGATGTATTTTGCATTTGTACTTGAAAACAGAAGAATGAAACCTGTTGAAATTGTTTTAAGAAGGAGGGAGGAGGATGAGGAAGATGATGGATAGATAGGGTAATCTAATCAAGATATATTAATATATTATAAGCACACATGTAAATATCACAGTGCATCCCCACACACAACTATTATATGCTCATAAAATTTTTTTAAAAAAGGGAAAAAAAGATGTTTTTCTTTTTCTGTCAAGGCCATGAGGAGACAACTGGCAAAAGTCTGTCCATTAATAGTTTTGTAACTGTTCTAATTTCCTGATTTTGATCATTGTGTTTATTTATTACAGAAATATTCTCGATTTTTAGGAAATATATGCCTAAAATTCTCAAGCATTTAATAATTATAGACAGAAAGCTAGAGTGTAGCTTGGTGGTAGAGATCTTGT